CGAGTCATCGTGCAGAAACGAAAGTGTTGCAGAAAGACAGACTGACAGACGGATGGACGTCAGACATACCTAAATAAATATCCCCTACTTTAAGTGAAAGCAGGGGACAAAAAGGCAAATTGTATATACCATTGTGTCCTTGAACTTTGACCTTCTGTCCGTATTTACCAATTCATGTGATGCTAGTTACATGCATTGTCCACCAGAACTGTAATTTTGTTTATTCATAATTATGTTGTTTAAAACATAAGTTTTAGTTATGGCATTGAAAAAAAAATGACTATGTGCTTAGTTTCCTTACTTTTCCATCTAAATCGAGCCGTTTTGACCTTGACCTTTGACCTTTTGTTAAGAAAATTGATTTTTTTTTCTTTGTTTTTGCTATTGTGTACTACATGTACAAATTTGGTTTTAATCCATTTTAAAATACTCAGGTATTTATATGGAAATACTGATAGTAGATACCTATTGCCCTTGTCTGGAATTCTTAAAAAAAGCATTAGTTTGTAACCATGGTAACATGAAAACAAGATATGAATACCAAGTGGTTCTTTACAGTTTATATTACAACTATATATGGACTTTCAAACCAATGTATTTATTTTTTCCACATGTCCGCAAAAATTTATACCAGGCTTTTCAAAAGAGCCTAAAATCTACAATTTTTCCTTAGAAAAATCATACTTAAAAAGGGGGGATATTTTTTCTATGACGTTAAGTTACTCAAATACTAGAAATTATCTGAAGAACTATAAAAATGATTTATTTTGACAAAAAGATAAAGTCGTGTAAATATCTTGTTGTATTAAAGACTTTTAATTAGTCAAAAATGGTCATTTTTCATCAAAATTTAGCATTTTTTAGGCCATGAAAAAATGTATGTTGGTTGCCATGGTAACCATTGACCATAGCAACCATTTTATTATGAATTTTAGTTTCATACATCATTATAGGAATGTGTGCCAAGTTTCATAAAAATCTAAGACCTAGCGTGCCACACTCCCTATATAGGAGTTTAAATGCTTACAGAGAATGGCTATTAAAACACCTCCGTCATTGTAATCACTGTATGCGTCGTTTCAAACGAGATTGTTGGAATTGTATTGTTCGTTCCTAAAATAAATGCAAGTTGTACTGGCATGTAATTGAACTAACAGGAGATCCACAAGTCTTGACGGTCACCTGGGTACCATATTCCATACATACATTTAAACTTACAGTCAGGGAGTTTCATACATGTACTTTCATTTAAACTTAATTTTGGCGTCTAAATTTGAGAAGAATTAACAATATTAATAGTTGACAATAAAAGGTTTTTAAAAAAACACAAACAAAAACAAAACACACATACACAAATAAATAAAAATAACAAAACTAGAAAAACATAAAATATTTAAAAAAGAAAAGAAAAACAACCCCCCCCCCCCCAATAAAATAAAACTGTAAACACACAATGGACGTCGACAGACAGGAACCAAAATGCCATAGGTAAAATGAGTAACTCAGCCAGGTGACTTACATGTAATTTTAAAATGTTTTATTAACAATGTTTTGATAAAACAAATGCACGATAATTATTTTTTTTTATTTCTTAAGGATGGATGGCTGTATATTAGAGGCAGTTGAAGAGACATCAGAAGTAGAACCATGCAACATTGTGATATGTGCTTATACAACACTAAAAGAAAACATGATCTCAAAAGGCATAAACGCACCAGGCATGATGTAAAATTACAGACTACTGCTGTTTGTTCTGGAAAAGTGCTATAAATATATATTCGATCAATGTGGGAAAATATACACGTCGCAACAAAATACTTGGTCCGTTGATTAGGTCATCAAATTTTAAAGTTTGAATTGAATGTTTTTTGAGACTTGATTTGGAATAAAAAATTGTCTTGGTTTATCATTTTATATGGAATAATTTTGTGTTTTATTTTTTTTCTTTTATCTTCGTTGTGCAGTCATTTTCAGTATTGATACTCCACTTCAATGACAGTAATGTTAGGGGAAAAAAATCTTAATTTTCCCCCCACTTTCACTTAAAGTGGGGGATATTAATTTGGGTTTGTCTGTCAGTCCGTCCGTTCTTTGAGCTTTTGCAATGAAATTTCTCCCTGTGGCCTATGGAAGATCCCTATTGATTTTATTTTGTAAAATTTCATTGCAAAAGCTCAAAGGTCTCTAGAGATATCGCGCGGAAACGAAAAGTGTTACAGACAGATAGAAAGACGGAAGGACTGTCGGACGGACATGCCGACCCAAATTAATGTCCCCCACTTTCAGTGAAAGCGGGGACAAAATAGGTATAAGAATTCACTTGTACCTCAATACATGATACATGTAGAAATTTATTTGCCGATGAAGTCATTTAACTTTTTAATTGTAAGATAAACCCTGTACTATAAGTTCATTATTTATAAATTTATTATAGACGTTATAAAAAGATAGAAAGATTAAAAAGATTATGAAAAAATAAATTTTTATATTATTATTTTATAACGTTCAACGCATTTATATGTAAGTATAATATTATTTTGAAGTAAATATTGCATATACGCAAAGGATGTTGAATAGTAACTTTTGTAAAAGGTAACGCTTGTTAACAAAATATCAGATCGTTGCCTATTTTTTCCTACATTTTGAATTTATTCAGTTTGAAAATGAGTTACACACAGAGCCATACAGCTATCCAGCCTGAGATATAGGAAGATTCAGTTTAAATATTGTTTGCACATAGAAAAAAAGGTAACGCTTGTTAATTATAAATCTAATGACAGTGGAAAGAATCAGATTGATAACCGCCTTATGGACAATAAAATAACCATACAGTAAAAGAATGAATAATACCTATAATATAGTAGCGTTAAATTGAAAACTATAATTAATTAAATTATCGTTTCTACCTAAATTCTTACCGGAGGATAAGTTATTGTAAACGCTTAATTGTTTATGCTTTTTTAAGCGACAAGATTTTATAAATCTTTTATAAGAAAGAAATTGAAATTAGATATTAATTTTACTTTTGCCTCTGTAAATAGGGGGTTGAATTATGTCAATGATTTTTGTACTCACTTTTCTTTTACGAGCTTCTATATCGAAAAAAATGGTCTAATCGCAAAACATGTCTAACTTTGATTTATCCCATTTCCACAAGCGAAAACAGTCTAAACACAAGCGACAATGATATTTCTATTTGGAGTCATGTAAATGAGAATGACTTTGTGACAATGATTTTCCTGAAATTTCTTGTTTCAAAGAGGCAGTTGTAACACATAAAAAGATGAAATGAATATCATTTATCAAGTACTGAAAGAAAAAATAGAATTTATCCTAGAACTTTTCAGATAACGCACCTAATTTACCAACGACTCGTACAATGAAAATACTGTCTCGCACAACGACACATACAGTAAATATTGAACGACGGATACAGTCGCATTTTGATTAAAGCAGGAAAATTAAGGATAATCTTATCATTATTAGGAATAAATTACGTTTCAATACCCCAATACTTATATTTCTCATTATTTGATACAATTATTACCGAATATGGGATGAATGTCAATGCCATAATACATCTTTTTAAGTCTTTGTACAACTACACTGCACTGCGTTTTGCATCGTGTTAAAAAACACATTTAAAAACTTAACATGCCTTCGAATAGTTGCCGTCTTATTTTCATAACCCCATGACTGCATCATGTTGCCAACCAAGAAACGCAACAACTTCTGGTTTTTTTTAGTATGTGGGTTAGATACTGTGTAATGTGTTGACCATCGTCAGCACAACACGACTGATACTTCATATCTTCGACACACTGCAGCTGCACTTCAATATTTCAGTTAACTTCACAATCGAATTAGATTATTAGCAATCGACCATGCATGTATGTAAGAAACATTCCTATTAATGCCTTTTTACATTAAATCAAGGAAGACACATTGCGATGCATGGCTTGGCGGACTTTAAATTTTGAGGCGATAAAATTCCAATTTGGTATTACCAACAAAGTGCCATTAACAGACTGAGTAATGTCATGGACTGTCAAAAATTAGTCATTTCGAATTGATCTAAATTTTTATCATCCGAAGTTGTTGACAAAATATTATCTTTTTCATTAAAGCTATATATGGCGTATCTGAGCTAAAAAAAAAAAAAATAAATAAAAATAAAAATACGAGATTAAGTGTAGATCAACGATATTTGTTATTTACGTTCAAATTAAAAATTTCACCGATTTTGAACTTGAATAATCCCAAGTTTCTATAGTTAAATTGACTTTAAATTGTGTCTAATATTTAAATGCAGAGTCGGTAAATAAATCGGTTATTGTTTTAAATTTCTGATATATAAGAAATACTTTAAAGTATTTTAACTTCAAGGCCATAACTAGGCCCAAACTTTAGTGAGGCAAGGGGGGGGGGGGCACTTGAATCCCAAGGGTAGAGTCCTGATGGGGGTTCTCGGAAGAGGGAGGGGGTCCCGACACCTAGGTTTTTAGCAAATTAAAGACTTAATCTTTGAAAGTGTTCATGTTTTGAAATATTTTTAAACACGTTCTAAACTATAATGAAGCACCTGGTGAAAAGATCGATTTACAGAAATTGAAACAAAATTTAAGTTGAAAGTATTAACTTAGTTCAAAGACATATATGTTTAATTAAATTTCAAAGTAAAACTATTTCCCTTTCCAGAAAACTCTAAAATTTTAGTGAGGCATTTGCCTCAGTTGCCTCAGTGGTAGTTACGGCCTTGAACTTTATGGCAGGAAAATTAGAACAAGCAAAAACAAAATACCCCTCCCCCAAAAAACCAAAAGATATAAATAATAACATCTTATTAATGTCTCTGAAAAACCTGACTACAAGTAATACTAACTGCCCTCTACTCCCTAAGTTACTAAATACCCTCCAATACCTAAGTTGGGGGGGGGGGGTGAAAAGAGGGATAACAAGCCTCTTGAATATTAAGCTTAGTTTGAATACAAAGAATTAAGTTTTAAACACATTTCACTTTTTTATTATAACAAATCATAGTTTTATTTCTGTTGATATTTACTATCACAGATTTCTCCATTAGGAGACAACTAACCATTTACATCATCCAAGTCTCAGAAAAATAATACATGTATTATATGATCAGGGTTAAGTGCACAGTTACTTAGTAATTCAGGCTAAATTAAATTTCACATTCTGATTTGACAGGAAATATCATTTTCATATATTTTTTCACTAAAAAAAAAAATACTTGAATAAAACCATAAAAATTAGCATTGAATAAAACATACACCAAAGACAGTAACTTTGGAATATTTCAATATACTAGTATGAAAACGGAAGTCAGATATTATCATACACCTCAAAAGTATCTTAATAAAAAGCTATTTCAGTGTATTTGTTATTAATTAATGATTGCTGTGAACAAATAAATGATTAAGTGTACTGAGTGTCAGAGAGAAAGCCAGGTTTTCACACATTTATGAATAATATTTCTTTTCAAACACATGTAATTATTTTTTCACTTTCTTGGCACATAAATGACACTAAGAAATGGTTTTTTTTCTTGATAAAAAAAAAACATGCAATATAAGATAATTTTGTAGACTCGTAGCAAATTTATAACTTTATTGTCCTTTTGATTTTAAATTAAACAACACCATTAGGTCAAACAATTCAAATATCCCTCCTCTTGCAGTACTCAACACTGACTCCTTCAAGATCAGGTACAGGTCCTTAACGTGGCATATTTAAGACAAGCAGATCATCTAGAGCCACTTTCTGTGTGACTTTCTCATTCTATCCCTTGTCTTTCTTTCTATTCTTGGAATTCCAAGATCTTAGTAGTCATATATTAAAACTAGAATTGTGCCGGTGTCAAGACTTGAATGCTGGTAATGCCGGGGACAGAAGAACCCTACGAGACAGTCTGATCCCACCACTCACAGGATCGTTCCCGAAGTATTTCACTTGAATCTCATCTCCAGGCTTAAATCCCAAAACTGTGGCATCTTGAACCTGTAAAAGGAATCATTCAATCAAAAAATGTTTTTTTTAGTATGCAGTATAATAAAATAGCACAATTTTTCTTACAGATAAAGTACCCGGGCTACTACCCCCCCCCCCCCCCCCCTTCCCCCAATGGCATACAGAAAAAAAGGTCCCTCCATGTACATTACATTATTTTAGTGGTTCATATCCCTATGAAATGCCAGATAGAAGTAAAAAGAATTTAAACTTCACCATTCTGATGTCCAATTGTTTTCTATGTATGAATACTGGCTCCATGCTGGGATGGATCTCTACCAAGGCACCCGCTACCCTGTAAAAATAAACATTCAGTATAGATCACAAGTTTAAATGCATAGTACCCGTAAAACATTTATAGCTCACAGGGTATGTCAAAAGCTCCACTTCAAAACAGTCCTTAATCATTACATTTAACCTACAAGGTATGTCATAAGTTCCACTTAAGGTAGCATGTCCTTAATCATAACATTACAGCAAAACATTAACCCATTGGCTGCACATTCTTAATAATTCATTCAGCAAAATCAAACAAAAAAATGATAACTGATTCAAACTGAAGGAAGGAGACTATTCATCTCAAAGTGTGTTAGAAAATATAAACACAAAATTTACATGTACATACTTTACTTCCAGTATTTTCACAGTGTATATAGCACCAAACACCAGATTAGGAGCAACCTAAAACATAAAGATATACTTGCTATAGCTAGATATACAATGAATACAGTTATACCTGCTAGATGTTGTTGTTTCATCTATACCTTAAGCTGATAACACAGAAATCATCATGCTTATGTTTCACTTACATACATGTAACATGCAATATATAAAATTATCCAAATTTACCCTATCTGGACAAATGCAATGTGGAAATTTTACTGTGTATCTAGATTTAAATGTATACGTTATTACATGAACAGTATTTTATTCAAAACTGGTACAGATGTGTACATGTAGAACAAGTGGACCTTAAAAAAAAGACAAAAGTTTGTTTATGCTGAGCAACTAATTGAGGACAGATATGAAATAAATCGTGAAAAATTTCATTTTCTACACTCTAGAACTCCCCCTTTTAGAACATCATTTTGGGCTTTAAGAGTTGATAAGAAGTGTATGTAGTTCACTAGTGTTATTCATTTAGAAAGAGAAATCGATGAATTGAGAGAAAGATATGGAGAAAAAGAGAGAGAATAAGACACAGTTACCTTCTCCTCTAGCCAACTGTTCAGTAACTCTTTGGCTTCTGCCAGGGCCGTCTTGTCTGGAGCAAACAAATCAAATGTACTTTCGTCCAGCACCGACATCTGGACGCCGGTCTTCTGGGCTAGTTGTCGTAGCCTTTGACCTCCGACCCCGATCACACGGGATCTCTTCTGAGGATTTACGGTAAACTTTTCTACAATATAAAAAATATGATTTCATTCCAGTTTACTAATAACATATGTAAGCCAAGATAAGGAAGATTCTTCTATGTCTCGCACATAAAAACTAGAGCCATATGTAAATGGTTAGACGTACATTGTTTTAAAGGTAAAAAGGTTACCTGTCCTTACCTGTTACTGGGGCATTACTTTTAGCTTCCCTTGGTTTACTTATCACAGAGTTCATAATCTTTAAAATTCTGTTAATTCCACCTGGAAAAAAGATTTTTTTTTCTTTGATGGTACAATTCACTAGTCTAACATGTAAATTATTCAGTTTAAATTTCTACAAATTAAATACATGATCAATTTTGCCCTTTTCCATTTTAAATATACTGTATTCAGGGAAATATTTTAATTTCATTTCTTTGGCCCTTGTTGTCAGGCGATTTCTTTGGGGTGAAATCAAACAAGGCAGAGTTACCTCTCTTTTAACATAACTGTCCTGGTGGAATCATTAGCAAGTGAGTTTGAGCAAAACCAACACTATATACTATAATGAATTTTTCTAGTAGCATGCATGTTGTATCTTAATGTATAAACAGGCTTGAAGAAATGTATGGATACACTTTAATTGACACACTTACTTTTACCAGCATCAATAGCTTCAAATACTATGTCCAGAGGTAAAAATGATAATTTAATGTCTGCCTACAAAAAATAAACTTTTTTAGATTAGAATATATTCAAAAGTGCAAAAGTTAAAGCTCCTTTTATAATTAACTGTCTGTTAATTTCAGCAAAGATGTGGAAAAAAAACATTAGAAAAAAATGTAACATTATATTTTTTTAAGAAGTCAAAAAACCTGCAATGCTGTGACTCCATTTTTAGTTCCTGCAATTTTGAAGTCCATGTCTCCAAAGTAATCTTCTATACCCTGAGTGATAAAAAAAATTACATGTAAGATGTAAATAGTTCACCAATTTACAAGAACTTTGATAAAAATACCCCCCCCCCTTTACATAATACGTACCATTAGGTCAGTGAGAACCCTATGGGATGCAATATCTCCGTACTTGTCCACCTGGGTCACCAGTCCAATGGCCACCCCTGCTGCTGCCTCCTTCACTGGGACCCCTGCATCCATCAGAGCCAGACTCCCCCCACAAACTGAAGCCATGGAGGAGGATCCTAAAATGTACAGAGGGGTCATCACAAAAATCCCCATAAAGATGTATACCCTGAAATCATTCTAATAGGGGTCAATGTTCATAGGTAAGCAAAATTTTGTTGGTTTGTGGGGGTGTAGTTTTGTGGATAGATTCAATGAAAAAAAATATTGACAAAGTAATTGTTCATGGGGATGTAAATTTGTGGATAAGGATGATCCATGAAATTCACGAGCACTGGTCCCCCACGAACAGTATAACACTGGTTAACTATGACTAAGGTTTCACAGACTTTTACATTAACTTGTGGGAAATTGTAATTGGAACAAAATTACTAATTACTAATTTTAAAATATTTTAATGAAAGAAATTTAGAGCACACCATTAGATTCCAGTACTTCTGAAGTGAGGCGTAATGTAAAGGGGAGATTATCTGGTATGATCGGTCTCAGACCTCTCTCTGCCAGGGCACCTGTCAAAAAATAAAACTTGTATCTAAGTCCATCTGTGTCTAATACGTGTACTAGTAAGTGTTGTTCTTATTTTTTAACATACAATATTCAAATGAAATATTCAGTATGTGATAAGGTGGCATAAAAAATTTGAAATTGAAGTAAATACTTTCTAGTACATGTATGACAAGTAAAATGTTATTTTACTAAATTTGAAAATAAAAATGAAAAAGAATACTAATAATCATCTTTCAAATTGATCAAAATATAATTTCAAGTGATAGGTACATTGATTAATTACTAGTTTTTATAACAAATTCTAAATAGAATTTAAAATGATGGTCTTTTAATTCTGTCGATTTTCATAATTCTTCATTTGATGAAGGAATGAATATAATATTTTTATGATTGAAATAAGACCAATATTTTCTTTATATCTATGAACACTTGAAAAATTGCATGGTTAGATGTTTTTTTTTATTTTCCCATTTCTTTTGAAATAATTTTCTTCCAGTTTAAAATTTTTCCTTTGTTAAAATTAATTTGTAAATATTTAATCAATCCCCTGTTACTTCTAAAATTTTATTTTAAACCAACTGGTTTTATTGGAGGAGGGGGGATTTTCTAAACATTGATAAAATAGTCATTTGTACCATTTTTCCTCTCTAAAATAAATTTACTAAATTATAAATATCTCTATTTAAAAAAAATGATTTAAAAAATTCAAGATATCTATAATTTATATAAATAATTTTAAATCTAAATTTCAGCATTTTATTTCTGTTTTTTTAATAATCCATGAACCAAAAGTAAACATTCAAAATGTAAAGAAATGCACTGACATCATGTCTCAGGACAGAGAAAACATTGATATTTTAAGCATTTAATATCTATAATAGCACATATCATTTTTCCTTTCTTTGTATGGAACAAATTCTCACTTGCTATGATATAACATTAATCTTAGACAACAGGGTCCCTTCAGTATAAAGAGTGTCAGTAATTAGTCCAGGTAGGCACAGGTGAGACTATCACAAACAGGGGAGTTAAATCTGAAAGACTCCTATTCTATAAGGACAGCAAACAGCATGTGGGGAGATCGCTTGTGAGACAAACAAATGTCACAGACATTCTGACCAATCAGAGAGCTCAGACTGGCCAGCAGGGGTCATGTGACATCTGTACGGAAGAAAGGATAAACACTCTAAAGCCCTTTAGTACTTTATTTCTAAGTCATACAGGTAAGGGGTGCTATAAAACTCATGGATTTTTTTTATTAAAATTAATTCAAAATTGTTAATATTTAAAAATCCTAAAATAGAAATCTATTTAAAAAAATAAAAATAAAAAATAATCGCTTAATAATTCTATTTTTTCCTAATTAGGGGATTGAAATTTACTCTAAAAAATTATATGAATGCTAAAAAAATTAGAAATTCATTTGTTTTTAAAACTGTTAATTATTGTTATATTTTTTTTTTTATAGTTTTGTTTTCATTTTAGCTTGACTCATCTATAGATTTCATAATTCCTTTGTGGCTTAATTTATTTTCCTTAACAGTATCTTATTTTTGAATTAACATGATAAAATATCAAGTCTACTTAATCAGTATGTTGCTGATGTAAATACAGCCTTTCAGGAGATTGACACATTTTGTATGCAAGCTCTTTCAAATGTTAACTTGCTAGCATCATACATGTGTCATTGTCTTGTTAGTTTGATGTCACCTGGTCTACTTCTTTCTCTATCTTATTCTAAAATCTTTTTCTTTAAATAATATTTAATTTATTTATTGTCTAAACCCACTTCTTTATTGAACATGTATACTTATATATTCTAATTAAAAGTTAATCTTTACTTCTAATGAAATCTCCTGCATTTTCTTCAGTAATAATAATTATTAATTTTGATTTCCAGATGGTCATTTTCTGTTCACTTAGCATTTGTAAGACTTGGCACATTTTGTATGCTGACAAAGGGATCAAATTTCAAGGTCAGTGTCAATGTGTGTCAATTTCAACACATGCAGTTTTCATCCTCCATTCCAAGAACAACCCACTCTGAACGGCACACCTTGTATGTAGACCTGACAGGGATGACCCACTCTGACCGGCACACCATGACTGTAGACCTCAAAGGAATGACCCACTTTGACCCACAAATCTTGAATGTACACCTAATAGGAATGACCTACTCTTACCGGCAAACCTTGAATTGTAGACCTAACAGGGATGCCCCACTCTGACCGGCACACCTTGTATGTACACCTAACAGGGATGACCCACTCTGACCGGCACACCTTGTATGTACACCTAACAGGGATGCCCCACTCTGACCGGCACACCTTGTATGTACACCTTACAGGGATGACCCACTCTGACTGGCACTCCTTGAATTGTAGACCTAACAGGGATGACCCACTCTGACCGGCACACCTTGTATGTACACCTAACAGGGATGACCCACTCTGACCGGCACACCTTGTATGTAGACCTAAAAGGGATGACCCACTCTGACCGGCACACCTTGACTGTAGACCTAACAGGGATGACCCACTCTGACTGGCACACCTTGTATGTAGACCTAACAGTATTGTCAGCATCAGCTTGTGCCGGTCTGAGAGGCAGAGAGTTCTCTCCCCTTAAAGAGACAATAAATTACTACACATGCTTTGAGTATCAGACTGTCATTAAAAATGAGCAAACATGTTGGTTCATTCTGCTGCCTTATCTGTGTCAAGTAATTTATATTTCTTAAATTACTTTTGCACTTTTGAAATTGTGTTCTTAAATAATTTCATTTAATCAAAGAAATCCTCAAAGAGAAAGCCTATCATTCAACACATTTTGCATGGCTGATTTTATGTCTACAAATTAGATTTACCATGTCCTATCTCCCTTCTAGCTGTTGCTGTTCCAGGTCGTCCTATTTCATTGGTGGCATATGCTGGAAACTAAAGGAAGAAGAATCATTAACATCATGGGGTGTCTCCAGTTCTTTCATTTTTAATATGACTCTTTATAAACTGGAAGCTATAAAATATGACAAAATTTCATCATGAAATAGATAACTTTCTTTTTTAAAAATAAAGTTTTTAAGACATCCTTGGGTCACAGTGCACAGCATAGTTTGCATTTAAAATTAAATTAATTTATTTAAAAGAGGTCCTTAGACCACAATGCTCATCTAAATCACGGTGGCCTAATTGCATTTCCTCAGAAGATTTTTAAAAGATTATTTTAAAAATTTTCCATCTTTGTTCACATAAAAAATTTGACCCCATATTGTAACCTCAACCTGGCCCCATGGGGCCATAACATTTCAAACCAGAATCCACACATCATGGGTATGCTTCAATATTTATATGACTAACATGACCTCCATTCCCCAGACCCCCCCCCCCCCCCCCCACCTCCTTTCAATGCAGTATGCAAAATTTGATTCTCAAATTTAGTTCATTCCTAATCCCAGGGGCCATAATTTGAAACAAAAATGAATTCACACGACTTTGGAATGTTTTATAAATCAAAATTCCCAATGTATCCATACCTTTTCGGATTTTAGCCCAATTAACCCTTACCCCAGGGTTCACAATATGAAAAAAAAAAATGAATTCGCACAACTTTGGAATATTTTAAAAATCAATAGATAAATTTGGATATAATGAAGATTTTTTAAAGATTTTTCTCAATATACTCTAAAATATAAAACTTTGACCCTCTACTGTGGCCCAATCCCACCCCAAAGCCATGATCTCCCCTTGTAAGAGGGTGTAACCCTTCAACTGAACAAAATTGAATTAAGGAATGAATTTTATATCTACCCAAGTTAAACTGGTATAACTTGGGTTGGGGAATTTTACGCTTTATAAATCACAAAGTGGTTTTAAGAAAGTGTAAACTGTTCCGACCCAGGTTATACCAGTATAACTTATGTAGCTATTAAATTTATTCCTTACAATTTAATTTTCCATCATTAAGTGTAAAAAATAAGACAATTTCTCTTCAAAAATGCCTTCAAATTGTACCTATTTTAAATGTAACATCAAGCGGATTGATACGTTTTTGACTTAACTCATTGTGACGTAGGCAATCCAGGTTATACTTAAGGAATCACCGTCTAGTTAGTAGAGTATGCCAGGGCATCAACGATAGTTGGAAACGTGGGATAATTTGCATAACGGGTGAAGCCTGTTATGCATAAATTATCCCATGTTTCCAACTTTCGTTGATGTCCCTGGCATACTCTACTAACTAGACAGTGATTCCTTGTATTTCTATTTCACTGTGAAATAAAATTGTAAATTTAGATTTTAAAAATGTAAACTAATAGATTTAAATAACACAAGGCCTCGCATGTCAATTTCAATACTCCCCGCCCACTGACGTCAAACACAAAGACAGCAGCAAGAGAATTACATGCATATTAGGCCTTCTTAGCTCCTGACCTTTAGCTTGGCGAAATTTGTATTCCGGTGGAATGATCAAGAAATCAACTCAACTAACTTTCAAAGAGTTATCACGGGGAAAACAAATAGAAATGGAAATATAAAAGATTTTATTTTTTTTATCCAATCAAATGACGCATTACAATCAAAATTAAACTATTTCTCTTTACCCAAGGACAAGCTCATTAATAATATCTTTTATATAAACAAAGGTAATCATTACTAATCAAAGATTATGAAGCTCGATCACCTCAATGTAAGGCAAATCTAACACCAAATTTATTGTGTCACCCTGCAGAGCAGAGCGGCACTAAGGGATCACTTTACCCAACGTCTGTCTGTCTGTCACACCCTATATCTCAAGAACTGTAAGAGGTATGGATTTGATATTTTGCACATATATTGCTTGGCACTATGGCTTTTGTAAATTACCATGGTTACCAACCTCATGACCTTTGACCTTCATCTTTACCCTACTTTACAAAATAGTTCATTGTGCCGATTTACAGCATATTTTTGACATTTAAGAAGCAAGTCTTTGCTATTTAGCGTGTGTGTACTGTTTGTCATAAGACAATATTAAAAAATAATACATTTGTACATGCTTATAAGCTCATGATAGTGTACTTTGAAACCATATGATATTCAGTTACCACACAAACTTATATTTAAATACTATGAAAGTACATCAGGATCGGTATTCCACAATCATGGATTGTGTAGGCTGAGAATTGCAGTAAAGACAGACTGAAATCTCTTTTGGAGGATTGTTGGAAACACATATTAATAAAATGACAAACAGTTATTTCTAATACATGTAATTTCAATTTAATTATTCATTTGAGGGTTATGGAACCATATTTTCTTTGACTGTCAGATTCTATCGCAGTCTTATACTATCCATGGATGCCATTTTTGTGTCGCCTGCAGAGCAGAGCAGCACTAAGGGATCACTTTCCCTGGCATCTGTCTGTCTGTCATTGCAGGCAAATGCATGAACTATCAGTCTATCATGCTTATAGTAAATAAAAAAACTGACCATTCTTAGATTTATTTACACCTTTAATGAAGCTACAAAGCAGATGACACATGCATTCCTTAAAACACTCTAGTTCTAGTAAGTATGCATCCCAAGGTCAATATCAATGCAAATTTGGTATTGGTAGGATTTATAGTTTATTAGGAATGTGCCTGCTCCAAAAACTTTACTCATTCAGAAGCAAGTGTGGTAGTGTCCATCCCTAGATGCATCATCCTTGTAAGTTTGGTCAAGGTAGGGCTCATATATAGTTACTTGGGAATGACTTGCATGATTCTTTCAATCAATCAATGGCTCATAAAAAGCTTGATACAAGAAAGTATTTATTGCCTGATTAGATTTTCATTTCCCCAAATATGATAATTTATTAATGCAAAAAGGTCACACAATAATTTACAGCATGAATTTGCAGCATTTTTTCAAAAATAAATATAATTCAACGTATTTTGCACAAAATAAGATTATAGTCATGATTACAGCTAGTAAAATGTAACAGATATTAAAGTGATAAACTAAAATTTACATTTTAAGGGCAAAAAGGTCAAGCTAATTGCACCATTGCTCTGACAGTAAGAAGTGTACTGACCCCATATTTTCTTTTGATCTTGAGTTCTGCTATACAAGTAGATATCTAAAATATACTTCTCAAAAAATCCTTGACAAATCCAATTTCAGGAGTGACATATCTTAAGCATTGTTTCATTCACTACAATTTCAATGTTGAAAAATACCATTATTGTAAGAAATCAGTGGAACCAATGAGTACCTACATGGTTTAAAATACTCAAAGAAATAAGTCATAGATTACCTGAGTGGCTTAGGAAACAAAACACAAACAAAAAAAGTTATGCATGAATTGATATTTTTTAACTGATTTTGAATAGAAATGACATAAATAATAAATTCCTATTTTTTCTGGTTTTTGTTGTTTTTTTTTTGTTTTGTTTTGTTTTTTAAAATATAAAGAAATCGTAGAATTTCTTTGATGTTCAATATGTGACTTTATACAAGTTTTTGCATAAATTTTATGACATTATTAAAAATCTTACAAAATTTCCAAAATTACTTTGGCAAACAGTATTCAAGTTGTCTACATGAACTTAAATCTTCAAATTTAAATTGTTAAGTTGATATATTTGACTTGGAAAATTTCTGAGATCTAGAAATTTTGCTGTTGTTTCTGTTTATTTGATTTTTACTGTAGTGAGCTGAGGGGGTAGGGGGTGTTAAGGTTAGGGTATGAATGCTAGTCTTTTACATTGAATTTTACAATTTTTATGGTCTGCAGGCACGGCTCCAGGAATTGAAGTTAGAGGGGGTGCCAAAAGAAGGCACAGGGTCTGGGGGCTGCCTTGAGGCCCCCAGTGGGTCCAGGATTCTAGAGATTTTGTAGGGTAAAAATGAGGTCTACTGAGTAGACATTTTCTCAACCAAACTATGATTTATGCTAACTTTGACAATTTTAGGGGGGCGGGCGCCAGGTGCATCCCCCCTTAAATCTGCCACTGGTCTCCTTAAAAGGTATGCAGTAAGACATGATCCAAACAGATAAAATTTAAATCCCCATTACAGAACCAGGAAGTTTAAATATGAGACAGGTAGAAAACACAGGTAAACCAGTCATGTGATCTGAATTCCAGTATCAAGCTGGCGGCCATTACTGTTTTACATCAGGTAATGTTTAGTCTTTGTTGAAAATGTTTATGTTGACTTATTGTATAATAATGCATTCTACAATTTATTCAAAAGTGAGAAAATCAGTTACTAGTAAGGTCTAAATTAACATAAACTGGCAATAAATACCTATATGTTATTATAGAAATTTATATATTAACGGTACATTGTGCTTTCAAAATATTCTTTTCAGCAAGAGGCTTGTGTGCCACAACCCTCACCTTACTCACGTAGGCCTTGCTGATCTTAATTGAGAAGATTTTTAATAAATGCCCCTCCCCTACGTTCTTATAGAAAATTGACCCCGCTTTACTCCCTGGGGTCATGACTTGAATTTTTTTATTGAATCCTCACTACCTGAATATGCATGCTTGTTAATATGAAAAATAAATTCCAGAAATTCTTGTGAAAACCCCCCACTTTTTTTCATATTTTCCTTCGCAAAATTTTCATCCCCCCATCAAAAGGCCTGACATAGATTTCTTTATTATTAACTTTCTATCAACCCTCCTCTTCCTGAAAAGGAAAATTTTCAAAGATTTTTTTCTATGCATCCCTATGTAAATCTTTGATCCCCAATTGTAGCCCAACCCTGGGGGCCATGAGGATACATGTATGCTAGGCAAACTTTACTTACACCTCTATTATTGTCTAAATTACAAGAGTCTTGTAAAATGGGTAAATGATAAAGTTTTACAATGTACTTTATTAATTTCATAATGAACACAAAGATGCATAGAGGATATCTATATTGTGTGATTTTATATTTGAAATGAAATGGTGCATACTGGCT